TGACCGCGGCAGCCCCCGAGCAGGCCACCCCGTACCTGCGGCCGCTGCTCCGCTTCGCGGCCGCGCACGTCCCGCCGCGGAAGCACCGGGAGACGCCGCTGTACATCCTGTGCACGGCGGGCATGCGGCTGCTGCCCGAGCGGTGAGTTCCCGCCCGTGTCAGGGATGCGCTGGGACCGCTCAGCCCCCGGGAGGAGCGGGACAGCTGCCGGCTCCTGCACCGTGCGGGAGAATCGGGAGTCCCGGGGGGAACTGAAAAAGGAAACAGCGCGTTGTAGGGGCGAGTGGCAAGGGATGCGGAAGGAGTGTTTGAGCATGCTGGGAGGGAGCTGAGAGAAGATGCTTTTGACTGAAGATCTCAAACAAAGAGATCTATTTTTCATCTCCAAAACATGCTGGCTGCAGCAGCAGAACTTGTGGGGTTGAACAGGGGCTGTAGTGTGGTGTGATTCCTGGTGTCTCCACCGGCATCAGCATCAGTCCCTCTCCTGCACCCTTGCAGGCAGCAAGCTGCAATCCTGGAAGACTTGGTGACAAATGTGCCCCTGGAGTTTGATTTCCTCTTCTCCAAATCACATGCAGAAGTGATCTCAGGGAAGCAGGAAGGTAGGAGCTGCCACAAAGCACTGCCTGTTCCTCTTTAGTGTGTTGCTGTAATGACCTTTTCTGTCTTGTGCAGGTGTCTATTCGTGGATTGGCATCAACTTTGTCCTGGGGCGGTTTGATCATGAGGATGGTGAGTCTGGCTGCTTGTAGAACAGCTGGGAGGGTCTAGGCAGAGCATGCTGGACTTTGTACCAGTGCAGTAGCTAAGATCAACCTCTGGAGCAGGCAGCAATGCCTGACCTATCAGAAGTGTGAAACTTTCCTGGACCTGGGAGGTGATCCTTGCAGGTGGCCCTGGGGGTCTGCCTGCAGTGGGGGAGGAGCACATGAGGCAGCTGTGGGGTGATGGTGGAAAGGAGAAGATGCTGCCCCAGGTCCTGCCTCTTGCTGACATGCTGCTGTGGGTTGCAGAGGAGGATGCAATGGTCACCGTAGCACTCGGGGACCAGGGGAAGTCCCTGGTTCGGAAACGAACAGTTGGGATCCTTGACATGGGAGGGGCCTCCCTGCAGATTGCCTACGAAGTGCCCGACTCCGGAGCCATCTCCTCCCCACAGCAGGTGCGTGTCTGGCCCCCCAGAGCAGCTCCTGCCTTCCCTGGATTGCTGCTGATCGTGACCTATCTGTGTCAGCAGGACGAGGCTGCTAAGAGCTTGCTGGCAGAATTCAACCTGGGCTGTGACGTGCAGCACGCTGGCCACATGTACCGTGTCTACGTCAACACTTTCCTGGGCTTCGGGGGCAATTTTGCCCGGCAGCGCTATGAGGAACTTGTGCTGAACCAAACCTATGCTCACAACCGGTATTGCTGCCTCACCTGGTGCTGCCCCCACCAGAGCATTGTGAAATGGGGTGCTGGTTCCTTCATGCTGTGCTCTCCCCCCTGGATTTGCCTCACGAGCTGCCTGTGGTGATAAGAGCTCCCACAGCCACGCTGGCAGCAGCTGGTGCCTGGGCTGGCACAGAGTGCTTGGCTGCTGCTGTTCTCCAAGCCTGGCAGGCGTTATCAGTGCCACAGCTCCCTGCCTTCCTCCTTCTCTCCTTGTGACAGGCTACAGGGAGGCCCCTCCTAGTGGCTTTTGGCTTTTCCTGCTCTGACTTCCCCATCTCCAGCACCGATTCACTCAGCACATCTTTCCATTGCATCCCCACCTCGAGCTCTCCTGTCTCCTGTCTCTCCTTTCCTTCCAAGAGCACTACACGAAGCTGTCGCCAGAGTTGGAGGCTTGGTGCCCAGGTAGTCCTGTGCCGGGAGCAGCCCCTGCCTCCAGATCCCCCGGGGCTGTGCAGAGGCACAGATCCCCATGAGCTGGGGGGTGGGCTGTGCCTTGTTGCACCCTACAGGTGCTCAGAGCATGTAGCTGCAGGCCAGTGTGACAGATGTGGTGAGTTCAGCCTTAGCAGGAGGTGGCAGGGCAGGCACCAGCTCTGCAGGGTACAAGAGGACAAGCCTGGTCTGGTGCAGAGGGTATCTGGATGTGGGAGAGGGCTAGATTAGGCTTTTGGGAGGTGGTATAGGACCCCCTGTGCAAGCAGTCCATTTTTTCCTGGACTGTTTTCCGAGAGGGCTAGATTAGGCTTTTGGGAGGTGGTATAGGACCCCCTGTGCAATTGCCATTTTTTCCTGGACTGTTTTCTAGCCTGCACAACCAGCAGACAGGGCTGAGCCCCACGATGCCCTTCTTGGACCCCTGCCTGCCTGTGGGGCTGGAGGACACGGTGGTGAGGAGTGGCCAAACCCTGTACATCAGGGGACGAGGGGACTGGCAGGCCTGTGCCAAGCTGCTGCAGCCCCTCCTGGCAGGGTCCAATGGCAGCCACGCCTCCCTGGTGGAGACCTACAAAGCACCCATCGACTTCAGCAACAGCGAGTTTTACGGCTTCTCGGAGTTTTTCTACTGCACCGAGGACGTGCTGCGCCTGGGGGGCCAATACAGCGCCCCCACCTTCACCTCTGCTGCCCAGGTGGGTGCTGCCGCAGCCCAGGGGAGCTGGCCTGGGAGTGAGGGCGGTTCTCTGCTCTGAAGCCCAACTTCTCCTTCCCCCAGGAGTACTGCAGCCAGCGCTGGGAGGTGCTGACGCAGCGTTTCCGTGGCGGCCTCTACTCGGCGCACGCTGACCAGCACCGGCTGAAGTAACTGCACCTGCTGGGAGCTGCCACGGCTGCACCTCTGGGGCCCTGGCTGGGGTGAGGGACCGGTGCAGTTGTTGGTGTCCGGCTGATGCTCCTGTGTGCTGCCTCTGCAGGTATCAGTGCTTCAAATCAGCCTGGATGTACCAAGTCCTTCACGAGGGCTTCCAGTTCCCGCTGGACTACCCCAGCCTGCGCACAGCCCAGCTGGTGTACGACCGCGAGGTGCAGTGGACCCTGGGAGCCATCCTCTACAAGACGCGATTTCTGCCACTCAGGTACCATCGGCTGCCGGCTGGTGTCACACAGGGAAGGGTGGCTGGGGCGGAGCAGGAGTAACTGCGCTGGGTGAGGGCTCTGCACGGACCCTGGCGGTACCCGGCGCATCTCGTGGCCAGTCCTGACGTTCCTCTCCACAGGGATCTCCGGCAGGAGAGCATCCGGCAAGCACACGCCTCCTGGCTGCGCCTCTCCTTTGTCTACAACCACTATCTGTTCTTTGCCTGCATCCTGGTCGTGGCGCTGGCCATCGTCCTCTACCTCCTGCGGCTGCGCCGCATCCACCGCCGGCAGCTGCGCTCGGCCCAGCACACGCTGCTCTGGCTGGACAAGGTGGTGGTGCCGCTGGGCCAGGGAAGCGTGCCGTGATGCCAGAGGTACCCAGCATCCAGTTGCACCAGCAGAACTAGGACTGGCTGACAGCCTGGGCTCTGAGAGCTTGGACTCCTTCTCAAAGACCATCTCAAAGTCTGCACTCCATCGCCGCTGCAGCAGAACCGGAGTCTGTGGGCTGAGGCAGCTACGGACACGAGAGCTTTCCTCTCCACCTTGCCCCAGTCCTAATCTTTCATTCCTTGGCCTCTGGCCTTTGCCTCACAACATGGTGTAGAGCAAAGTCCTCTGCCACCAGCAGGCTCAAGGCTGCAGCCCTGGCAGATCCCTCAGATAACAGGACACTACCACTGAGGCAGCCAACCCAGGGCTCTGGCCTGAAGTACTGAGCCACCCCATGACTCAGCCACCAGTTTGCTGAGCAGCCTGGTGAGGTGCTGTGGTTCATCACCTGGGGTGGCCTTCTGCAGGCCCTGGCAAGCCTGGGGCTGGGAGAATGGCAGGCACCAGCTAAATTACTGCAGGAACAAGGTAAACTGTGAGTTCCACCAGGCTGCTCTGCCCAACCTGGCCCCTCTTGGAGTATTCCTGAAGGGGTGTCCTGCTCTTTGCTATGTCTTCCCTCTGAGGACAATCCTACAGTCCTACCCAACATCCCAGACTGAGCCCTGAGGGCTCACTGATTGATTTTTGAGGCACCACCAGAGTGGGCTGCCTTTCCTTTCACACATCCATTCCCTCCTGGGCACAGCTGCCCTGTGCTGTGCTGGGCACTGGTTCCAGGACCTGTGGTTCTTTCCCCTGTGAGGGTGGGCTGGGCCTGCCCCTGGGAGAGCCCCCTCAGTCCAGCCCAGCTCACGGCCCCAGGACAGGCCAGGGCTGAGCTGTGCACAGAGGCACAAACATTCCCTGGGGCTGGAGCCCCACCGATGGTCCAATGAAGTTTGTCACTGTTCTGAACTCTGTTCCATTCCTGTAGCAATAAACAAACCCCTTGAGCCATCCAGCACTGTCTCAGTTCCTAGTGAGCAGCTCCCAGCAGCGATGGCCCCTGGCTGGTGGCATGGCTGGGTGGCTGCACAGCTCTGCTGCTGCTCCCTGCTGCCACAGTGGGCTGATGGAGCCCCTTTCCTGCCTGTATTCTCTGATTCCAGCAGGACTGAGCTTAACTGAGCTGGTAGCAGCAAGGGGATCTGATCCAAACAAACTGTTGGGATCCTTGGAAACAGCATCCTTTGCTGCCCTCAGTTTCCTGAGAGGAAAAGCCTGTCATCTCAGAGCTCTCCCAAGATGTTGGTCTCTGCTTTTTACCTTATTCCCCACCTGAGTCTTAGCTGCCTGGCAAAGAGCTGAGCTGCTCCAGAACCATGGAAATGGCCCCAGCAGAGCTGCAAGAGGCCGGGCAAGCACCCAGTTCTCTCTAGCACACACAGTTCCCTCCCTGTGACCCTGGTCCCACAGCTTGAGCACACAGGTGGCATCAAGGATAAAACTTTCCATGCATCACTGTGCTGCCGACCTCCTGCCCAACAGCTGAGGATCCCAGCCTTGTTCCCATGGTGCAGGAACAGTGCTGGGGAAAGGAAAGGTGGCTGAATAAGGCCAAGACTCTTGTTCAGCCTCAAAGCAGCAAGTGACTCAGACCCCAGCATGACTTAATAGAAAAAGGATTTATTTCCACAACACAAGTTAAACGACACAGACAAATAAATAAATACAGATAAATTATCTGATAAATAAGGGGAAACCTGAAACACAATGCCCTGCTTGGCTCTTCTCAGAACCTGGACCCATCTTGTGGTGGAGATACCTAAACACTGCTGCAGCTGCCTCACTGCTCAGGTGGGAGACTGCCCTCTTTTCATCCCTGCCAGCAGACCCCAACACCTCCCTTACCACACCCAGGGCGGTCTGCATGCTCCTCCAGGGTCAACCCTTTGTTCTTCCACCCACAGCCAGAATCTGCCTTAGCAGGGACCACCCCCAGCACAGGGGACTGATCACAGGGGATGCAAGGGCTCCTGTGTTCTCATGCAGACGGGCAGCCAGTAATGACCAGGGACAGGGCAACTAGTTGGGCAGCTTGGGCTACGAGCAGGGGTTTCACGTGGGGGCTAGGGCTGAACACAGCAGGAGGGCAGGACAAGCACTGCTGGGACAGGATCTGCTGGCACCACACAAAGGTCCCTCACAGGATGGTGCTCAGTCACTGCAGCACTGGGCCAGCTGAAGGGATCTCTCCCTGGCAGCGTGGCTGCTCCTAGGGCTGGATTAGTAGGCCCTCATCCAGGGATGCTGCCTGCCATGCTTGGGGGCCCAGCCATCCATTGGTCCAGGCTGCAGTGCTCCAGGTGTGCTTGGGCAGCCGGTCCAGCCTCTGTCCAGCACCTCTGGGGGCTGCTTGGTACAGGAGGGTAGAGGCTGGAACAGCTACAGGAGCTGGGAGAGGGAGAAAGGAAGAGAAGTTAGCAGCAAACCTCATTCATGAGGGAGCTCCCACAAATTTGAGAACTACAGAGCTGGATTTGCTCAGGCCCAGCGCACAGCCAGCAGCCCCACACTGGGACCAGCTCACCACAGCCACAAGGCACAGAAGCCAAAGCATTTCCCCCAGCCCAGCAAGGGCTGAGCTGCAGCTCCCTCCCCAGCTCATACAGGCTGCAGGGACACGTGCCCACTCACGGTGATGGATTTGATGGGGGTCTCTGCTGAGGCGCCAGCTCCCAGGCACTGCTCACTCCCAGAGGAAGCGCACGTACCAGATGGTCTCGTTCTTCAGCTGCGGCCCGAACAGGGGGTTGGCCTGGGCCAGGATGGCGATGAGCCAGCTGCAAAGGGACAAAACCCCGTCAGACCAGGCACCGGGAGCGGCTGCCGCCCGGCAGTGACGGGCCCGGAGGGAGGCGGGCCGGGCACCAGCCTCCACCCAGGGAGGAAGCTGGGCAGCAGCCCCCGGTGTCGGTGAAGGCAGCGGGGTGGGGGAAGGCCCGCGGTACTCACAAGAGGTAACAGCACACGGCGGTGGTCACCAGCATCGTGATGATCACCCTGCGGAGATACCGCCGTTAGCAGGGGAAGGCCCAGCTCCAGAAGCCCCGACCGCGGCACCCCCCGAGCCCCCACTCACCCGCGGTTCGGGCCCTTGGGCACGAACCAGGGGGCGGCGATGCCCACGAGGCCCCAGAAGGCGGAGAAGAGGACGAGCGGCAGCGCGAAGCTGTGCGCCGTCATGGCGGCTCCGCTCCGGACTGCGCCCCGCCCACTGCCGCGCCGCGCCGCCAATCCGCGCCCGCAGCGCGCCGCGCCGGCGGCACCGCCCGCTCCCATTGGCGGATCCGCTCGGCTCGGCCCGGATCCGCTACTTGGCTCGGCCCGCATCCGCTGGGCTCGGCACGGCCCGGCCCGGCCCCCGCAGCCCTCGCTCGGCCAAGGAGCACCCAGCAGACACAGCCGCGTTACAAAGCTCCTTTATGTTACACAGCTCGCACTCACACCCGCCGCCGCCTCCCGCGCCAGCCCGGCTGCGCGCACATCGCCCGGGGCTCCCCAAGGGCTGTCCCGCCGGCGCTACTTGGGAACTCTCCGGAGCTCGCTCATGAGCCACAGCGCCACGCTGAGCAGCGCCAGCGAGCCCGACTGGTGCGTGGCAGCCACAGGCGTAGGGACGTAAAGCAGCAGGGTGCTGATGCCCAGGCCCACCTGCCAAGAAGGGAGGAGAGGTAAGAGCAGGTGTGGATGCACCACGGACACCATTCCCAGCACAAAGGGTGGTGTTAGAAAGGCTCACGGCCACACGTGAGCCACCCCAAGTTCAGTGTGCATGCAGTATGGTGAGGTGTGGGGTCTAGGCAGCTCCACCTGTCAGCTCCCGACTCTTGGAGCCAGCACAGATCCAAGTGGGGTCAGGTCTGCCCTGTGAATGTGCTGCAAAGGAGTAGGAAAAAAACAAGGGCAGTACCTGCATGTAAGCTACGGCCAGTAAGGAAGTCACAGCCATCCTCGTCCTTCGAGGGAGTGGGATCCTCCTCGAGAAGAGGTACAGTGCTGTGACAGCTGTGACGGAGGCAATTCCCTGCAGAAGGGAAGGGAAACAACCACCCTTCAATGAAAATTCAAGGGAAATGGGAGCAGTGGCCTTTGGCTGTGCCTTCCATGCAGTAAAAGAAATGGTGTGAGCAGTATTTAACTAAAGAAATGTATTAATGGCCATGACCAAATCCTAGAGCTCCCACACCATCAGGTTAACAACCCTGAAATTTAAGTGAAGTTACAGAGACTTTTAATTTCCTCCAGATGAATGCTTTACTTTTCAACAGCTTCTTCTCATTAATTCAAGTCATTAGAGATTGTGTCTGCCCTCTCCCCAGCTGCCACCTTGACAACTGAAGGTGGAAGCTGTCATCTGGAAAACTGATCTCATTTCCACCACTCAGCTGTAGCTCACCAGCTTAATCTTGCTGTGCAGGTCACCCAAGGTGATCCAGCTTAATCTTTCTTTTTTTAGTCTTAGCCACAGCTTAGTTCACAGCAGTGCAGCCAGTGGTATTTAATATCCGGATTGCTGTAACTGGCTGGGATACAATCACAGGGCACTACTGTGCAAAACAAGTTCAGAAATGCTGCAGGAAGCATTCAATATCAGGATTTCCAAGTTTTATTTCACACAGCTTTCCCAGACATTTCAATAGCAAGGCTACCCCACGCTGTAGCTCGTGTTATGGAAAAGGAGAATCAGAGAAACAAAGTGTGTTACTTGCGCAGGAGGAAGACCTCCTTAAGGAAGAAGGCCACACTGAAAATAAGAAACAATGCTAAACTTCCTCTTCCTGCAGAAGCAAACTGGTAAGACGCTCTCAGGCCCTTTGGACACCCTAGAAATCACTCAAGCTGACAGAACCACAGCCCAAAGAAGACAGCTTGGCTGCAGGAGGCAACCAAGAAGCAGCCCAGACATATCAGGAAGACAGCACTTACCAAGATCCTGTGATCAAACTGTACAGTTGTGGGATTCTCAAAGATATTTCTCAGCACGGGGGAGAAGGCAAGGAGATCGTCTGGGATCCAGCGCTCCCCCATTTTGGGGAAGGAGTTGTACACAAGGCCAGCATCCAGCCCTGCCACAAAGGCACCTGCAGTTCCAGAGCAGAAAATGACAGTAGGCAAAGGTGTCACTCCAGGATGCACAGCTCTCATCCAAGAGCTCAGCTTGATCCTGAATTTGTTTTAGCAACATGTACAGGGATCACGCAGCACAGGAAGGCTGGAAGGTGCCTCCCCTCCTGCCCAGGAAAGACCAGTGAGGAGGTTCTTGACTGTAACATCAGTTACAGTTTTCCCACAGAACAGAAGGAAAAAAAAAAACCAAAACAAACCAGCAGAGAGGAATGAGTCACAAACTGGACAGCAGAAAGAGCTTTACCTGAAATGGCAGTAAGAAAAATGAGAGCTGTAGTGCCATGAGCATATTGTCTCAAGCGAAGGAGCTGCTTGGTTTCTGGCAACTGTAAAATAAAATAAGAAAAAAAGAAAAAGAAATAATCAAGGCATTTCCAGTGCTGTTGGCAGCAGCTGAGAAAAGCCTTCACCACATACACAGGCCAAGGGGTTAGCCTGTATTTTAGAGGGGGATTTTACAGACCACCACACAGCAGCCATGCTCCAGTGGTCTCTCAAAACCACAGCTAATCAAGTCCAGCTCTGTGCAGAAACTGAAGTGGCCCTTGGACAGTTACTGGCACAAATAATTTACCCAGCCAGGCACACCCCTGGCTGAGCTTCCACAAATTCTGAGACTCATCACTTTTGACCCAAACAGCAGGAGCCAAAGCAAGTGTTCCATAACCAAGAAGTTTACAGGATGGGTATTTGTAACACTGTAAGTATATCAGAGTGAGGAACAGAGACCACAAGAGAAGCACCATCAGCCTTCACATCACACCCCAGCCCCGTGAACTGAAAGTGCCCTGACACACAGTGCCTACCTTGTGCTGTGGGAGCAGCACAGACAGCCCTGTCCACAGGCTGGCACAGTAGAGGAGCAGGGCAGAGCCCAGGTGTGCTGCCAGACGGTACTGACTGACCCGAGGGATGTCGTACGAGTCTGGCTTCTCTTCCAGCCCACTCTTCACCATGTACCATCCCAGCAGCCCCTGACAAAACACGAGAGGGCTCAGAGCCAGACAGCACAGCAGTGACTGCTAAAATGGGATAAATATTAGGGGCAAAGCAACTTGTTTCCTCTACTTTCAACTAGGTGCCAGCACTGACACACTGTCATGGCACCACTGATACCACTGTCTTAGCTATGCTGAATCAGAAGGTATCAAACTGACAGAAGGCAGGTTTAGATTCGATATTGGGGAAAAAATCTGTGCTGTGAGGGTGCTGGGCACTGGAACAGTTTCCTAAAGAAGCTGTGGATGCCCCATTCCCGGCCAGGCTGGATGGAGCTCTGAGCAGACGGGACCAGTGGAAGGCAGCGGGGTTAGAAGCGGACGGCGTTTCGGGTGGTTCAGTGGCACGCAGAGGGGTGGGGCTCTCACCTGGAAGCAGACGAGCCCGCAGAGGGCGAGCACGCGGCCCTGCAGGGCCCGGCTGAGGCAGCCCCGGCGCCAGAAGTAGGCGGCAGGCAGCAGGTAGGCCAGCCCCACGGCCCGGCCCCACATGCGGTGCGAGTACTCCATGTACCAGATGAACTTGAACTCCGGCAGCGTCATGTCGTGGTTCAGGCTGTGGAAGGACAGTAAAGCCCCTGTCTCTCTGCACGAGCCGCCCCCAGGCAGGCTCTGTGTGCCTTCCCAGGGACCTCAGAGAACATTTCCCTTCTTACAGCAGGTTTGTGGGTGGCTCGGTGCCAGGAGGGCTGCTCTCAGCCCACCCTCCTTCCACTTTTGCACACTCACATTTTAAACTCTGGGAACTGCTGGTACTTCTGGAACTCGGCCTCCCACTCCTGCTGCGTTCGGGGGGGCTTCATCTCCTTCACCAGGTGCCAGTCGACCATGGACAGGCCTGACTCTGTCAGCCTGGGAGCAGAGACACGAGCAGGCAGTCAGCACATCTGCTGGACTGAAGCGAGGGCTGTGGGCTGCACAGCAGCCCGGGAGCTGGGACTTCATGGTCCTTGTGGACCCTTCCAAGCCAGGACATGCTGTGGGGTTCTAGGATATGTCTCAAACTCCCTGTTCAGACAACCCTTCAGCTCAGAGCTAAGAGCAGGACGGAGCTCAGTGTGTGAATGAGCACACCCGAAATGGCGACAAACGCGTGAGAGCTGCCCCGCAGTGGCATGCCCAGAGCGGAGCAGCCTGCCCGCACCCGCAGCCTGTGCCCGGCAGCAGCTCTGCGGGCACAGCCGCGCGGGGTCACACGGACGGACCGGGGTGCGGCGCTCACCTGGTGACGCCGCCCAGCACCACGGCACCGGCCACGGCGCCGCTGCAGGCCAGCAGCCAGCGCCCCACGGCGGGCGGCGCGGCGGGCTGGGGAAGCGCGGCCGGGCGGGCGGGCGCCATGGCGCGGCCCGCGGTGACCGCGGCGCTGCCGCCCGGCAGGCATGGACGATGGCTTCCTCATGGAGGTGTGCGTGGACTCGGTGGAGTCCGCCGTCAACGCGGAGCGCGGAGGTAAGGCCCGGGGGCCCGGCGGGGGGCGGCGCGGGCGCGGGCGGGCCGTTCTGACGCGGCTCTCGGCAGGTGCCGGGCGGATCGAGCTGTGCGCCGGCCTCGTGGAAGGAGGGACCACGCCGAGCATGGGTGAGCCCCAACCCTAACCCTAAGCCTTGCCTTGCCTTGGCGCCCGGGGGGCGGGCGGCCGCGCTGAGCCGCCCGTCCCGCCGCAGGGCTGCTGCAGGTGGTGAAGCAGTGCGTGCGGGTGCCCGTGTTCGTCATGATCCGGCCCCGCGGCGGCGATTTCCTCTACTCGGACCGCGAGGTGGAGGTGATGAAAGCCGACATCCGGCTGGCCAAGCTGCACGGCGCCGACGGGCTGGTGTTCGGGGCGCTCACCGAGGACGGGCGCATCGACACCGAGCTCTGCACGGCGCTGCTGGGTGAGGCTGCCCGGGCTGCAGCCCTGCTGCCGGGCTTCGGTCTGAGCGTCCTGTCTGCGGCCTTGCCGCCTCTTTCCTCCCTTTTCCGTTCCGTTTCCTGCCGTACCTGTGAGACATTCAGTACTTTAGGAACTTTGCAGGCCGAGGGCCGCAGCCCCAAGCCACTCACACACAGTTTGAGGACACCGGGGTCATAATGGCAAAGTGTAGGAGGGCTTAGGTGAGCTGCTTTGACCTGTTGAACTCTCTCTCTTGTTTTCTTTGTCCTTTGTTCTCTTCCTTATGTCGTTGCTCCAGGTGTCTAGGATGTGTCTTCCTGGACTTTGGCCTTGTGTGTAGCTGGCAGTTTGTCTTAATTTTTCTCTCTTAACACACCTAGGGAGAAAAGATTACAAGAGAGAGGTGTGAACACAGGAAAAGCTGCTGAAGCTGCAGTGGGAGGCTGTTAGCCCAGACCACAAGCATGCAGAAGGAAATTCTTTCTTGCTGCATGTTTTTTGGGAGCTGCAGCCAGAGCTAAAGAGGCCTGGGCCTTTCCCTGGTGGTGTGGTGCTGAGGTTCTCATATGAAGATGAGTGTTCTGTAAGGGGTGCAGCAAAGGAAAAGGGTCTTGCCAGGACTTAGCAGGGAGCATGTGGATATCTTTTTATTTGTAGAAATAAATAAGCTTTGCTCAGTAAGTAGAGGACCTCTGGTGAAGTTGCTGTGGTCTGAGAGCAGAAATTGTAGGTAGTGAGAGAAGTCACAAAAATCAGCTCCCCTGCTTCCAAAGAGCAATGGCCCTGGCCTTTCCCCAGGTAGATGACACAAATTCCCTGCTTCCTTCGTGCTGAGAAAGTCATCTGTGGTGGGAATGAGGGTTCTGGTGTTCCAGGTAGGATGGGGGATTACCATAGGTGTTACCCATAGAACCAAAGGTGTGCTGCTTTCTCAGAGGGCAGAAGAACAATTCCCCATGAAACATCCTGGGTAAAGAGCATTGTTCCCAGCAAGAGCGGGGACTCTGAGCTCCCCAGGACCCATAGAACCAAAGGTGTGCTGCTTTCTCAGAGGGCAGAAGAACAATTCCCCACAAAAATCCTGGGTAAACAGCATTGTTCCCAGCAAGAACGGGGACTCTCTGAGCTCCCCAGGAATGGCTTGAGAAGCCTTTGCCCTCTTCCATGCCATGTGTGTCCCTGTTCTAGCACAAGGGACTGTACCAGCCTGACTGACCACATGTCCTCCTCTTGCAGCCGTGTGCCGGCCCCTGCCCGTCACGTTTCACCGCGGTGAGTTCCCTGGGCAGGGTCCAGCCTGTGTCCCACTGCCGGGGAAGGCGGGGCTGCGAGGGGGCTCAGCTTCATCTGCTTTGGCTGTTTTTGGAGAGGGAAAGCTCTGCAGGCTGTGCCGTTCCCCACAAGGGAAACGGTGCAGGGGGCTCAGGTCTGGGAGCTGTCTCATTGCCCTGGGACAGAGGAGGTGTCTGAGGAGCCCGGTGTGGTGTCCCTGGCACTGCTGCAAGGGGAGTGTTACACTCAGGGGCTGTGAATGCAGGGTGTGAGCAGCACCCTTCCTGTCACTGCCTTTGGGGGAGCTGGCTGAGGGACAGGGCTTGAGCACAATGAACAGTTTCTGAGCTGTTGTTCTGTCCCTCAGCCTTTGACATGGTGCATGACCCTGTGGTGGCACTGGAGACCCTGATTTCCCTGGGCTTTGAGCGCGTGCTGACGAGTGGCTGTGACAGCTCAGCACTGGAAGGATTGTCCTTGATTAAGAGGCTTGCAGAACAGGTGAGTGCTTGCTGTGCTGGGTTACTGGCTGCTCCCTGGCACTGCCTGCAGGCTTTATGGTATCCCTCCTTTCTGGGAGGGACTTCTGCCTCTGGGAGGAGTGCTTGCCTTCCCTCTCTTGCTTGTCTTTAATCTGTTTCCCCAAGTCCGTGTGGGCTGGGCCCCAAAGTCTGCAACATCTGGTTGGGTTCTTGCTTGCAGATTCGGGGAGGGTGGTGGGCATTGGTTTATAGAGCTGGCATGATGAGCCCACACAAACAGCAGAGTGAGGTCCCTGCTGAGTGTCCCACAGTTGCTTTTAGGAAAGTGCAACAGGTGAGGTAGCAAGGTGGGATGGAGAGGTAGGAGGGAATGGTGACAGGTTGTCTTAGCTGTAACTGCAAGTTCTTTTCCACTTTTCATTTTAAAACATGAATAGTACAAAAAAGATGGATGAGAGCACACAAACTGTTAACTGTGGTGACATCCATGAGCTTGTGGAAAGTGCTGCATGTGAGGTTTCTTTGCTGCCTCACAAATGCACGTGTGCATGTGGTCCTCAATAATGTCACTGACATGTACGTTACTCTTCTTTCAGGCAAAGGGCAGAATTGTGGTGGTGCCAGGTAATGTTTGTCATCTGTACCAGGTCCTGCAACCCTTAGCCTTTCCTTGCTAGCCTCCTTGCCCTGGATTCCTTGCCCTGGAATCCACTTTCTGATCTGGCTTTCTGAGCCAGCTGCCAAGGAGGAGCAGCTCCTGTCCTGGTGTGAGTAAAGGCCATGCAGCCTGCTGGGGAGGGCAGAGCCCTGCAGCTACTTGCAGTATTTGGGGACAGCTCTAGATCTGTGGGAGAGCATGAGCCAGGGCTTCTCCAGTCCCTTTCCACGTGTCCTTGTCCCTGTTGTCCCAAGGGCTGTTTTTTCCCTTCAGTGTATATGGCTCCAGTCCCTTAGTGGTGAGGTCCCGGGGTGGTGTCAGGTCTGGAATAGTGTCGTGGTGAGTTCCCGGGGTTGTGTCAGGTCTGGAGCAGTGTCACCTGCTCGGTGTGTGACATCGGGCTGTTCCCACCAGGAGGTGGCATCACGGAGCGCAACCTGCAGAGGATTCTGGAAGGCTCCACTGCTTCTGAGTTTCACTGCTCTGCTCGCTCAGCTCGGGACTCAGGCATGAAGTTCAGGTAACTGATGGCTTACGTTTATTTTTTAGCAGAACTCTATGAGGGAAAGGCTAACGAATGTGAGCATGCATTTGTAGAACTGGCATAAATTTCAAACAGCTTCCTGAGTGCTAGTTGTGCTTTTATGTTTGGGATCATGGTGCCTGATACTGTATTCTGCAGTGTATGAATCTAGCAGTGCTCCTCACGTGGACATGAATTCCATGCAGAACCAGATCCTTGGGACATTTCTCTTGCTACTGCCCCCCTAGGAGTTTTGAGGGCACTTGGGAAGGCAGGTTGTGGTGCAGTTGTTTTAGACTTTTAACATAAGCATGTAGGATTTGGCAAGCCAGTGGGATGTGCTTCTGAAAATGGAGTGAGGAATGGGTTATATTTGTCCATAGGTCTGCACTTCTTTGGATTATTGTTCTTGTTATTACTGTGCCAACTTTGGTTTGGGTGGCACCATCTTTGGCCAATGCTGAAGCTAGGGGAAATATGGGGGTCTCTTTCTTGGTGGATCTTACCGGTCTGTATCCCCAGCAGGTCACACTAATCACTGGTTTTCCTGACAGAAATCCCAACGTTGCCATGGGAGCGTCCTTCTCTGCCCCCGAGTACTCCATCAAGGTGGCAGACGTGGCCAAAGTGAGGACCCTGAACGCCATTGCCAAGAACATTCTGTAGTGGAGGGCACCGTGCTGGGCAAGAGCACAGACTGCAGGGTGTGCCCTGGCACGCGGGCTGATGGGCACTGCTTCATCCTCAGGCTGCAGAGGATGTGCACTGGGTGATGGAGCCTCACACCTCTTCCCTTGGCTTCCCCTGAAGTCCCTGGCCTGGAAACTTATGTTGGCCATTTTAAATAAAAGGACTCATTTCCAGATGTTGCAGCAGCAGCTGTTGGGCAGCATTTGGGAGGAAGGGAGGTGAGCAAGCAGGGGGACTGAATTGTATAGCACTGCATGTGATTGTCAAATAAACACTGCAGCTGCCCCCCCTCTCACTGTGCTTTTCTGGAGTTTATTTATGGTTTCAGGTAAGACCATGACCCATGTTGCATGGCCTGAATTAGGACCCTGCTGTGCCAGAGAATGCAATCACATCCAGAATGCCAGGGTGGGAAACACCTTAGCCACAGCTGGGAAACAAGGCCTGCTGTGGTCAGCCAGTAGCACAGGTGGGGGTTAGCAATGCAGCAGCTGTAAGCACCTGACTGATCAGGTGAGGAAGCTGTGAGCCATCCTGGGCTCTGGGTCCTCAGTGCTCGAGGTGGGGTTGGTGTATGAGATTTCCTGGGAGGACAAGCTGCTTTTTCTAAGGGAGTTTCCAAGTCCTTGTCCCAGCATAAACTGCTTGTTTTCCAGATAGTGTTTGGGGAATGTGCCTGTTGGGTCATTGCTGCTTAGTCAGGATTAAAGCCTCAGACTCAGTTTCTCTGTCAAACACCCAGTGAAAGATTTAAATGGTATCAGAGGGTACATTTGAAGAGTAGGGACCTAGAAGTAAAGCACCTTTATCTGTGCTGCCTGCTTTTCTGTAAAATATCACAAAGCTGAAGAGAATCCCTCTGACAACCAAGACAGTGGACCTCAGGAAGCAAATGCAGGGTACAGATGTCTCTTCCCATCTTGGCAGTAGCTTACAGCCTGTGAGGATATATGGAAAAAATGTGCTACTTGACAAGGTGGCAGCACCTTTGTCACCTTGAACAGAGTCACATTATTGAAAATCTATCATCAAGACTACGTATTTTCAGTTTAAAGGTGCATCCACTTTTTCACATTGATCCATCAAAGGTATTGGTGTCTCCCAAAACACCTTAGGAACTTAAGTTCTTAACAGAGGAGCTGGGAAGGGAATGACTGCTTAGTGCTGGTGTCAGAGCCTGCTTCAGCACTGACAGATGTGCAGGCTGTAGGAAGAATCCAAACTTGGGGAAAGTGAATAAATTTATGATTATGGTCAATATAGAGAGTTCATAACAGCTCATGGCTTATGTTGAGATTTTATGAGTCATGGTCGTGATTATGATACTGGTAGCTCAATTAAGATCAGGCTACCAGTACCATAATCATGATAATTAAGGTGAGAACATTCTGCTGACCAAGCTGCCTCAGGTTTTTGAACATGGGGTGAGAACATGACAAGGTAAAAAAAGTCTTCAGAGAAGATATGAGCAGTGAGGGCTGGAGGAATTTGGTTGATTGCCTGGCAGAGACCTTTGGATCAGACCCTGTGTGAGACAGGCATGAATCAATGCCTAGTTTTGAAAAGCTATAACATGCTGTGAAACAGATGGCTAAAGACAGGGGAGCACAGGGAAGCTGTGGTATTGCTGGCCAAAGAGGTGCTGCTTAGCAACCTTGGTCCCAGTGGATGTTTTCTGGGTATTTTAGTGGAGGAACATTTATGGAAGGAGCTGAAGGACAGTAAAGCTTTCTAGGTTTTTAGGAGGAGCATGCCCCAGCTGTGAGGGTAGAGAAAGTGGGTTATGCTTGCTTTGAACATCAAAGAGAGGGAATCCTGTGCTGAGGGCCACGCTTCAACTCTGTTAGACCAAAGCCAGGGTGAGGATGAACTGTGACCTGTACTAAAAACAGACTCTGTTAGACCAAAGCCAGGGTGAGGATGAACTGTGACCTGTACAAAAAACTGACACAAGCAATGGGATGGGGCATTATGTAGGAAGGTCATAAACAAGTGGGCCCCTTGGCAGCAGTGCTCCAAGTGGTTTTGAGCAAGGCCAGAGGACACCTGTGCCAGTGCCAGACAGAAGAACCACATCAGCAGTCCAGATGGAGAAGGGCTGAATGACTGCTCCATTCACTTCTTACTCATTGCATCAATTTATAGCTCTCAGGAGCAGTGTATTGGTTCTGGCCTGGAGGACGTAGCACTAGGGGTAGTTTTATTTACAAAAACATGTGGATTTAATCAGAGAAATTGCTAATAATTAACCACTGAGTTGGACATTGAGCCTTTCTTTGGTATTGATGGTTCCTGAGGAATTACTCATCATTTCACCCTTGACTTCTAAGTTATCTTGTAACTCTGTGTACAACGAGACAGGACAATAATTACAGTCACCCTACTGTCCTCTTTTATCTACTGTTCTTCAAGAGCACACATGATAACGCAGATCCTGTTCCAGCCTTAGTAGCACTGTCCCCACGTGTCCTGTCACACCTAGGCCTTCCTGAGCAACAAGTGGCAATCGATCTCCTTGGGATTCGTCCTCTTTCTGTCAGATGTTGGGGGTTACCTTGGGATGAAGAGTCAAAGTCTCTCTGGGGTTTTGTGGTCAGCCAACTGCCATAACACAGACAACATGGAAATGTGGGAAAGAAAGAAGCAAAAGAAGGAATTTGGAAAATCTTCAGGCTCTGGAGACTGGAAATTAGTAAAAGGGATCTGGATCCTGAGGACTCCAAAAGATCAGTGCAGCATGTGGTGAGCTCAGCTGTCAGACACTGCAAATTCCCAGGCCAGGGGCACTCACTGCTGGTGTCACAGGCCCCCTTGCCAGGTGGCATCAGCCACTGTGAGACCACCCTTTGCTGGACTTTTTGTTGGCATTCAGCAGGCTTCTCACCAGAGAGGTCTGTTGTACCAAAGTAACGTCTTTAGCAGGTCCAGATGAGTTTGTGTGCGTTGGTGTGCACTGATCAAGTCTATGGTTTCTGAGCAATGGCTGTGGTGTCCTGCAGTGACTCACTTCTCTGTATCTCCCCTTTGGTCTCTTTCTTGGATCCTCCTCTCCTCCCTTCTGCGGCTGTGCAGCTTCCCAAGCCCTTTTGGTCACTGCTTTGGTTTGTAGGGTTGTGCAACAGCACCGAGTTAATAAATAACTGTGGGTCATCAGAGTTTTTGTCCCAAGACCGCTTGAGGGTGTGGGGGGACTTTTATCCCAGCATCTGCCCAGGTGTCTCAGTTGGGCAGAGCGAGAGGAAGGAGCTGCTGTTTCTTCTCCCCCGAGCTATGTCAGCAGCCCTGGAGAAGTTCTGTGGCTCCGTCTTCTGGGTGAGTGACTGCATCATCCCCAGTGCCTGTTCTCGGTGTAGGACACTCTCTATGGGGGGAGAGCAGTGGATTCCAAGGCTCACAGCCTGTCCTGCCAGTGAGACCCACGTGCTAGTGGTCGGCAGAGGTTCTGGGGTTTATCCAGGAGTGCCATGGCACTGAGTGCTGTGCACTGTCGGCACTGTTCACCAGGCAGTGAGACAGTGACACCTCTCTGACTGAGCTCTGTCCTGTTTTAGCCTTCCTGGGAACACAGGACAGCCTGTACGGACTTCTGGAGAAGGATTTAGATTCAGTTGCTTCTGCTGGCTTGGCTCCAGCACGGGGTTGCCATCTCTCATTCAGGCAGAGATGGGGATGGGGATAGTGCTCGGACCATGGCCACGTGCTGAAATGCTCAGCCAGGAGGGTGGGTGTTGAAGGGGGGATGCAATGGCGTGGAGCTGGGTGGGCAGAACCTATAGAAGTGTTGGTTGGCTTCCTGTGTGCCAAGTGAGAGTCAAGCCATCTCATGTGATGTGGTGTTCTGTCCTTGCTGCCCCCAGAATGACTCCTACCTTGCTCGTCCGGATGCTGACCTGCCGGTGTGCTTCCAGCACACTGTGCTGGTCTGGATCCCCCTTGGCTTCTTCTGGATTTTGGCCCCATGGCAGCTCCTGCCCATGTGCAAATCCAGAGCCAAGAAATCCTCTGTGACCAAACTCTACATCATCAAGCAGGTAGAGTGGAGCTGAGGGGGCCCAGATGACAGGTTGGAGCAGCCTGAGGTGTTGGTGGTATGAGTGGCAAGACTGTGCTACAGTCAGGTGTGGGATGGAGAGATGAGAAGTGTGGGAGGGAAGGAGCAATGGGATAGGGAACCATCCGGGGCAGAAATTAAAGGGGAGTCCAGCAGGAGGCATGTCTGGGACAGAGGGCATAACAGGGAGGGATGCACTGGGAGGGAGGGCAGAGTGTGTATTGGGGCCTCTCTTGTGGGCTGCTACCTTCCAAACTGAAAATTACCACAGTACTCCTGTGGAGCTGTGGCACATTCACAGGGTTGAAAGCTGCCCCAGCCAGCTCTGGGCTGGAAAGGGTGTGAGGATGTACGGATGTATTTTATGCCGACCTCCGTTGTCTCCCGGTGGTTCCCAGTGTCCACAATGGGCTGGCCTCTCTCCCCACAGGTGCTGGCTGCCCTGCTGGTGCTGACGGCAGTGGCGGGGCTGGCCCTGGCCTTTGTGGACGCCGAGCAGGGCGCTGTGCCAGCTGTGCAGTACACCAACCCCAGCCTGTACATCGCCACCTGGGTAAGGGCTCAGCCTGGACGTGCTGTGTGTCACAGGGACACCGTGAGACTGCAGCCCCCGCAGAACAGGGCTTCCCTAGCACAGAGATCAGAGGGAAGCTGTGTCCATGGGGCAAGGGTGGCCTGGAAATTGGGTAGGACGAGCCCCAAACCTGTGTGGGTGGTGCACGAGGGTGATATGTTGAGGGCAGGTGCCTGGTTACAGTGCTCGCTGCTGTCATCCTTAAAACTGGGATGATTCTATTCCTGCAAGTGTAGGTGAGCTCTCTGAAAGAACTTTACTAGGAGCTTTTCACAGGACTGATTTTGCAGTGTAAGCATCAGACCATGGCTTGCTGCTCTGATGTCTCACAGCTTCCTTTACATTGCTGCTCAGTTTTGGGCAGAGAGCCAGGAAGTACCATGGGGTGCTCAGGTAGAGGAGAAAGCTGGCTAAAGAGGATCTAGTGGCTATTAGCTTGATGGAATATGTGCATGGCACTTACAGATGTCTTGTGTGTGACATGGAGTATTCTAACAGTCTTAACAAATACTCAGGAGCTACACTTAAAAGCAAAATAAGACCTTCATTTGCTTTCCTTCTTATTTTGCCGCGTCATTTAGTTTCACATGCAGAGTCCATGTGAGATGATAAGGCAAGGGGACTCCTGAGAGAGGCTGCACCTCTGGAATGTGATCTGGGTTCAGTTCCA